AATTCACATGTTCTTTCATTTCCCTGAAGTTTCCCTGCATGTGGGTAAGAGTGTGTCTTGACATGCTTTTAATCAAGGGACAACCACTCTCACAGCAGAAACCTCACAGAGAACATGTTCCCACATACTCAGATACATCAGTGACAAGGCCGTTCAACCCTCCCTTGCCTGCATCACATTTTGATGTTGTTTATTTGATGAATTGAAACACATTTAAGTCAAACCAACATGTCTTCTTCTCTTAAGATAATGACAAATGCCAGCTTATGAGTGGTAAAGCTCCTCAGCAGAACTGTAAATCTTCTTTTTGTTGAAGTTGTAACTGCAAATCTCATTGTATTTAATTGCCTACTTCAACGACAAATGGGGAGCAAGATAGATTGATTTTAGACTATTTTACCCCAATAAAATAGATTAAGCCCTATTCTAACAATTATGAATCAGCAGTGACACAGATCAGTCATTTAAGATAAATATTCACTACGTCAGAACTCATTCTGCAAATATCTTTCCATTCCACCTCAAGCAAAAGTTTTTTTTTGTTTAAAATTTAGTCGCTGTATTTTAATTTTGCTGTTTCAATCAAGCTCTTCTAATCTGACTCTTCAAAATGCACATACAGTAACATTGATAAAAAAACAATATTATTCTAAAAATCAGCAGAAAGATGAACCTTCGTCTCAGTCTCAAGTCTTTTATCAGTTTCTAAACTATTCCTAATAAAAATGTTTACCCACAGTATAATACTTCTGCCACCGTGTTTTACCATTAGGATGGTATGTTCAAGCTGATCTCTATACTGTATCACAGTCCAGTATGATCAATGCATATTTTTTTTATTGGCTTTAGATTTTGTAAAATATTATGATAATTGCATAACCTTCCCTTTCCTAATTGTGTCCTTCCTCTGGGGTGGTCAGATAAAATCTCAATAAATACATTAAAGTTAATATTTGTGAAATGGAAAATTTTTAAAGGCATAGGTGGATCTTATTGTCATAAGGTTCAGTTTATTCTCATTTTACTTGAAACTTTGAGCAGCTTGTGGTTGATGACCCCTGTGACCTTGCTGAAAAGTTATAAGCAGTTTCCCTCGTGGTGATTTTATCTCATATCCCTTTACTGGCAGCTTTGAAAACATGTGTGAGAATTTCAGAGAAGGATCTGCTTTTTACGTTTTGTTCCTCTCCTAAGCTTAAAGGAACATTCAAAATGCCTACAGATTTGCTTTGAAAAGATGGAGGCTTTCAATCACTCTGGATCTGCTTTAAGGCAACAAACAGAAGCAGAGTCACAGTAAGCCTGCAGACAAAAGATCCAAGTTCAGCTTTAACCCAAACTGACACAATCCTGATGATAGCTCCGCGCACTTTTCCATCAAACAATCAGACTAAAAGTAGTGGATGTCAAACAGAAAGGGCGAGAATATTGAATTTCTTTTACAGTCACCCTACTGTAGCCAACAGCTAGGAGGCACAGGCTTGTTTAATAGACAGATGAAAGTAAGAGGGAAATTAAAGATGAAAGAGGGGGCAAAGAAGAGAGAAAGAGTATGTTTTTGTAAATGCAAGCATGTGTGATTTTGTGTGTGGCCCATCCGGCCTCCCCACTGACAGGAAGCAGCATCTGAAGAAGATGGATGCAAGAAAACAATACGATGAGTTGGTCATCTTAAACACTACCATGCATGGAAAACTGTGCACACACACACAGCCTGAACACATACAGAAGACCTCTGTGACCAATCAGATTTCTCTCCTGTCATCTTAGAAGAGCAAAGCCAGATTTGGGCTAAAGGTTCTGGAAACAGATGGGTGTCTTTAAGTGTTTACAGTTTGCTTTTGAGTTTCTGTCCAAATAATAGAAACAATTGATATCTCTGATCGGAAAAGCACGTTTAGAATGATGTTATAGCTACATTTTTTATTGCTAAATTATTTAGAATGTCTATGTGTATTTAAAATGCATATGTGTTTTGCAGACATGCGGTTATGGTGTAAAGGATGAAGACTTTTCCTGCGTGCCCTGCCCACAGGGGAAATACTCCAAAGGAAAGTATGAGATCTGCAGGCGCCACAAGGACTGTGATGCTCTTTATAGAGCCATTGTCCGTGTACCAGGAACTGCTGAAAGTGACGCTGAGTGTGGACAATGTTTACCAGGGTAAGGCTTACTGATGACTAAAGCATTGGTATTAAAGGAATAGTACACCCAAAACATGATTAGCCTTCATTTTCTACTCACCCCCATGCTGAACAACACTCTGGAGAACTTTTTGGTATCTCAAATGCATCTGGAGATAATGGAGGTGCCCAGCGCCCGAGGCAGAAAGGTCCATAAAAGTCCACAAAAAACGT